TTATATGTCTCCTTCGTCTCCAAACAAACTCGCTCACTGGCAACTTCCTCCACTCAGTGTCTGTGTCTAACTCTCTCTCTCTCTCTACACACACGTACTATATTTGGTCTTTAATATAAAAGTTAATTAAAAATTAAATTTGATTTAAACATAATATCTCAATTCACTTCGTCTCTTGTCTTAAACAGAATAGCTTAGAAAGATCAACATACTGTTGTGAAAAATAACAAATTTAACTAAATTTTTTAATATTTTTAAATTAATTATTTAACTCTTATACTCAGGATGAGGGATAGTATACACACGTAATTCTACACACCCTTGAATCACCATTGATCAATTATTAGCCATTCATTCATTACTTACTAGCTAGCTGCCACCATTGTAAACAAACCCAGATCGCTTGTGTTTTTGCTCTAGTTTGACCTGACAAAAGCTCAGAATTGTTGAGGTTAGTGAGATTGGATTGTGTGAGAGTATGGGTTTGTTTTCAGGCTTATAATTGTCGTCTTGTTTCTATGTTCCCTCAAGGGTCTCTGATGATTCTGCTGCACAATCTGGACTGAAATCACCTTCTTTGTCTTCTTCTAATATATTCTTCCGGTTTTAAATATAAACCTATTTTATATATAAATTACATTATAAATAGGTCTAATATTTAGGATCAGAAGAGTATAAATTCAAAGAAACAAGTGAAGAACAAGTCAAAGCCAAAAGAAACTCCCATAATAGTTTCTCATTCCACTTTGTTTTTTGGGTAAAATCTCAAGATCACCTCAATATAGGCACAGCTTCTTCCTGTCTTGTTGCTATGTATAAAATAATGATTAAAATTACTTATTTCTTGTAAAATGTCAAAATTACCCTCAATAAAAATCATTAGTTAAGGGAGTTTAGTTGGTTAGTTATGAAATTTTATAGTAAGTTAGTTAGCTAGGAATGCTATGTAAAAATAATTGATAATAATTTAAACGTAATATATTGTATTACAAAAAAAATCCTAAGGAATTGCTTCTGAAATTTGACACAATATACTTGGTCAAACGAGTGGTTAATCGCGGGGTAAGTTTCATGTTTAATTATTTGGCGGTTTTTGTGGTTAAAGAACTACTAAGAATTTAGTTTCGAAATCTCATGCGTTGCTCATCTATCAATATTTCTGTTGAACAACCTTTCAAATTAACGATATATATATTTATATATACCACTATGGAATAAATTTGATAGTATCAAATACCAAAATTAGCCAAAAGTACCGAATACCAAAAAGTTTCAAGATAACGTTGGACAGGACATTAGCATCGATCATATACTAAATAATTCTAATATAAAAATATGAAATAAATGATAAAAATATCTTTATTTTTTGAGATTTAATATGTATAGAGACATACATTTATGCAATTATCTTTAAATAAAAATATATGATAAACTTTAATTTGGCTATAATTTTTTTTTCTTAAAGCATTATCCATCAACATATTTTTTTTAAAAACGAAAACATTGTGTGTGTTTCTGTGTGTGTTAGAATTTTCTTTTGGTCAAAGTGTCTGTTAGAATTGAAATCAAATGAATATTATAAGTATTTTGGTGATATATGTGAAAACAATTCCATAATAAACAAATAGAGAGAAGACCATCAGATTCTATCTTCTACCTCCTTCCTCCCTAAGCAAACTCCACACTCGCACTTGGCAACTTCCTCTTCATTGCTTAATTAAAATGACCTTCCTGTCCCTTGTACGTGGATATTACTCTATATAAGAGCCCAGTATATCGTTTTCATTTGCATGTGATTTAATTTCAAGTTTAATTATTAATCAATCTTACGTGCTCCTCTAGCCCAGAAATTAATAAATAATCAACTTAGGTTTATTAAAATAATTAAAAAAATAAAAATGACTTGGATGAAATCAATATATTTATATATATATATATATGTGCTCTTGTATATAATATGGATTCTTGGTGACTTCTCCAAGTTGGAAATAATTTTAAAAATTACTTTTTCCCATTCCGTTTTATAAAATCCTATATTAATAACTTATATGAGATTAAAGGAATTAGTCAAATATAAAAAATAATAATAACTTTCCAAATTAACCCTTTGATTTACGTCGCGGATTCAGTGTATCATCCATAACTCATCTGAGATGGTCAAAAGTGGCTCCAATGACCTCGAATTGACTTTCTCTGTGGGCCCCATATGCCTCTACTTGCTTCCCAAGCAATTACATCCACAACGAACCTACTCAGTACTCAGTGCCTTCCTCCTCCATCTCTACTGCTACTCTCTCTCTCTCTATATATATATATATATAGAATCTGACATATAGGCCATCTTCATAATTGCTCTGAGCATTAATTCCAAGCATAAGCCATCGGAGTGGAAAAGGAAAAGGAAGCAATCAAAAGCTTCGATCTTAATTAAAGATGGGTTTGTCTTTAGGGTTTCTGAATTGCTTTGGCGCTTCTTCTTCATCATCATCATCTGCTCGTGTGGCTGATCAAGCAGAGCCCCAAGGAAAAGCTAATAAGAACATGAAATCAGAATCTTCTCAGAAATCGAAACCGAGGGCAGCTCCGATTGTGGTTTCTCATTTCCCGCACAACTCTTATGTTTCCCGACTGTAGCCAAACTCTGCTCATCCTCCTCTTCATTCTTTCTTTCGTCCCCCCCTCCCAAAACTGAATTCAAGTTTATTTATTTATTTATTTGGTTATGACTTATGAGATACTCCTTTTATTCTTAATATAGGATTCAATTGTTGAGTTAGTTTTAATTCTAAATATAAGATCTATTTTTTATATTTATCAATTTTCTCTAAATTATCTCTATAGATACTCCCTCAACCCTAATCAAGTATAAGAGAAAGGGAGTATTAAAAAAGATGATTATGGTATTTTAAAAAAAATGTGTCACATTTCTTATAATTAACTAACTTATCTAACTTTTCTAATTTAATCAAATTAGTTAAATAAATCTTTTATTAAGTACAGGAGAAATATCTTTGTAAAACTTGTTAGAGTGCAAAGGTTGGGGCTCTTGAATAAATTCTAAACCTACGTTTTCTCCGTACGGCATAAGAAATGGAAGTTAAAATATTAACTTTGTCCTAAATTGAGTTTTTTTTTTTTTTTAACGTTTACCCCGATTTAAACATGGAGATAGAAAAACACGAAGTTTAATAAACTTATTAATTTTAATTAATAACAAAGAAAAAAATAAAAGTGGCGATTAATGAGTTAATTGATAACTTATATTTAGGGTGTGTTTGGATGAAACCAAACTATGGTTTGGAGAATAGCTTTTGAAGAATAGATTCTGTGAAGAATAGATTTTGTAAAAAAGTGATTCTAAGAAGTGAGAGTGTTTGGATAGTTGTTATCAAAAGTACTTTTTATATATACAAATTACTAAAAAAACATAAGTTAATATGATAATTATATAAAAGATAAATTTTATGATATATTTTAATTTGAAGGAATAAAATTGTTAATAATATATTTTTTACCAACATAATTAATAATACATAAGATAATATAATTAATTAATAATTAATATGTGTATATATGTTTATAAGATATAAGGTTAAATATGTTTAGAAAAAAATAATTGAGAAATGTTAAAGTCATATTATTGTTGAGATCTACTTTGACAGGCACAATCATCTCTCCAATTTGAGCCAGAAGCAGAATGAATTCACTTCTCCTGAAACCATGGTTTTGGCCCAAATCATGGTTTCAGATTATTAGCCCAAAATTGATGCTGTTTGGGTGACATCTCACCAAAACCATGGTTTTGCCTCTCAAACCATGGTTTTGAGGGTCACCCAAACAGAACCCTTAATATTAAAATTTAAACTGGTTGATTATCTCTGGGGACAAAAATCTTTTACACTCTAAAACCCTCGAGAGGAAAATCTTGACCAAATGAAAAATTTTGCTTTTAGAAGATGCCAATACCAGAGAGAGTACCACTGCGGTCGTTAAACGAATGACTGTCTTCGCTTGGATTTTGATTAGTAGAACACAGTCAACACACTTCAGTCCGTATGCCCAAGGGCACGGCCAAACATGCCATATGGAAGTAAGACACTTCCCTGACGTAAGAGGCATTTGGGAAGTATAAGAAATGTTGCTGAAAAACACTTTTCTGCAGATCGAGATAAATTCTTTCATATATTTACTTCGTATACCGTAAAAATACTTTTAAAATCATAATTTTGATTCCATCCAGTAATCTTCAAGTGCAAAGAATAATTGGGTCTAATGGAAGAGGGAAATTTCTTTTCCCCCTCAACTCGCTTCAACAACATCTTGCTCCACACATTTGCATTCTTCTTATTGAAAATTACCATGGACCAAGATCTTTTAGACTTTTTTCTTTTTGACGGAAAAAGAATGAACTTCTGACTCTTGGGTTTAATTTTGACCCAAAAACAAATGCTGGGTTGAAGAACATTTCATGTCCCACGCCCACCGTTCGTTGGGGCCTTCCATTATTAAGCTGCTGCTCGAGTCCTTTACCCTTTCACCTTATACTGAATCAACTGAATCAGAAGCCGAAAGGCGTAAAATTCGTACAGAGCCAACATAGCAGGATTTCAACATATACATGTTACTTGTGTTGATCTCTCAACTTTCTTCTTTAATCACATACTTTAATCATATATGTTAAAACTATCTATTGGTAGAGATTTCTTACAATTAATAAAAATCTTACATTTAAAACCAAATCTAATTCTCCAACTAGTTCTTGTGTTAAAAACGGAAGGCATATAATCCACATCAAATTAAACTTTCACATCTACAAATTACAAGGTATGTAGCCATCAGTGCAGTTGCTGATGATTCGTTTATTATAATTATATACCCAAAAGCATCCTTTGACAATCTCTGTCCAACATCTCATAAAAGTTCTTGTATCATATGCCACCCACCAAATTAAAACCAAACAGGAATTAGTAAATATTTGATCGAGGGTTTGAGACACAAGCAGGAATTACAATTCCCCCAAATGATGTATTAAGAGATAAATATGTACTTCTGCAAGTTAAGCACAATGATCATCACCTTCCACCCAAAGTTAATCTATTTGCAATCTTAAATATTATGACTTGCATTGACCGCAGCAATTGCAAAACTAAGAAGCATCAGACAAGACTGTACCAAATGAAAACTGCAATGCAGCCAGTCCCAATGGTCAAGTAGTAAATGTTAAAACCTCTGGTAACCTCAAAACATTCAGTACCAGAAGCTACACTCACTCTTCAACAACATTAACCAATTCATATTCAACTAAAGAAAGATTGTTATCCTCTTTAACATCAAAATTGGCAGGTTCTATAGGTTCAATCCGCCCCCATTTATCCACTGCTAGCCTCATAGATCCCTTGAACATGTCAATCTTTGCATTACGCAGAATTAAACTTGCACCCGGGTTCATAAGATCCACTGTAGAAAAGAACATAAACCATGTCACAGACCATTTATGTGATATCCTCTTAAAGGCACAAAGACAAAGAATCGAGGCAAAAACTTTAGAACACTTGTACCGGAGAAGGAACATTATTGGCATAATAAACAGACAAGTATCTCCATGAACGAGGCTAATCACACATCTACGGCATAACTCAAATCACGGCACAAATCTAGAGTAGGTAAAAAAGGACAACTAGAACAGTCCAAGGCAAGCCACTTTCCGTTACCAACTTGACGGCACAAGCACCAAGGGCAACTGACTGGGAAGAGGAGTCAAATAATATTTTCTTAAAAGGACAAAACTTGGGGTACATATAGTTCCTTCACTACTTCCTTTAAGATTCTCTAACACGTTTTTCTCACTCAAAAAACTGATGACAAGTTGACAACAATCCAAAAACTTCGCCTAGGTTTGCTCATCACTAAAATCTCATGACACACCAATTGAAATGGCAGAAATGTTATATTTCAGCTGGGTTGAGCAGTCAGTCCAACATAAACCAATTGTAAAAAACCCATTTCAACCTTGTTATTATCATTCTGTTCACATTAGAAAATCCAAAAAGCATACAAAGGAGCAGAGAAATCTACAATTTTGACTCATATAGTGGGAAAAAAGGGTCGCTTTGCCTCAGCGCTGCCAGTAGTAACTGAGCATGATTGCCTATGCCAAACTCAATGCAAAACCTTTTAGACAAAGTCTATTTATTAAATTGAACATATAAAAATGAAAATCTCTTAGCTGACAAATGAAATTACATGCACAAGCAGATTACATAAGATTTAAAATATATATCCATAAAAATGCCTATTTTGATACAATACAAGAGCGATCTTATATCTTTATACAATAGAAAACATAAAGCACATCTTAAACTCACATTTTGATCATCGTATCTTCACCCTTTAAGTTATTATATAGCAATTGGTAATTATTGATTGCTTCATTAACATAATCCAGGGCTAATCGATGATCTTTAAATAAAATCAATACAATAATTATAGTGAAATGAGCTTAAGTATTAGGCTAATGTGAGAATATTAATGTTATCACACACAACCATACCAGTGCAGCCCTACTGCTTAGATGAGGCAAATATGCGCCCCAATAATTCAGATTACTCTCATACCAATTAGGAATGTTACTGAAATGCACAATTAATACTGCAGTAAATGATTTACGGATAGGCCTCACCAAATATATTGCCAACTTCAGCACCGGCCTACAGCTCGTATATAGTCACTCATACATTTCCCAAAACAAAAACTCATCTAACACTTTAATCCATTTACAATTTTTTTTCCTAAAATACCCTCAATTCTTTTTTTTTTTTTTTAACCAAAACCATATAGCAAAACTACCTATCATGGGAGGTGCCTAAGCTATAGTGGTAGAATGTTTACTTACTTACATTTAACAGAGACACTCCTCACATTCTCACGAGTAAACCCCAACCTCAATAAGGTGGAGCCCAAGACAATTAAAAACTTTTCCTTGGGACCAAAACCAAATGGGAAAATTGCCTCAATTCATTTAAATACCAATTTTTTTAAAAGACCGAAAAAAAAAAAGTGAAACGTATTTTGTAAAAAAATAAAATAAAATAAATTGGACAAGAGGGTATGGTGACTTTTGTTTCATTGGGGAGGTTTGAGTGTCGCTGTATCTGTCCATTTGTCTGCAAACATGCACTGAAACACACACACACACAAGCGGATGAAAAGCCACAAAGACTTTAAAAATTATCAAGATTTGAAAAACTAATTCGCATACCGGAATAATGCCAACAAAGCAATCGCATAAAACGAAGAACACATCAAATAAGACCGTAGAGTATCCCCGTCAAACAGGTTCACGAATTCAAAATCTTCTCCGAGCAAACACATCGACCGAAGGAAAAAAATTGCAATCGTGAATGAAAAACTCTATTCTTATCGTACCCTGTTCGTTACGGGCCGTGAAAATAATGGTTCCGGTTTCATCACCCACGACACACTCGGCGATGCGGGTCGGACGAGAAGGCCGAGCAAGAAGCATAGACGACCGACCGACCCGATTGTTCATCGACTTCACGGGCTTAGAGCTGACCACCTTCACGGTTAGCGTGTGGCCACTGGTACCCGGCTTTAATTGGTCCACCTTGATAAACACCGGCTTTCTCTTCGCCGCCGCAGTCCCCGTCGTCGCCGGTGTTTCCATGATCGGAAGTTTAAATTCCCTGATTCAAGCACAACGTTTTTGAGGTTTCTATTTTGCAGGATGCAGAGGAAGACTTGTGTGTGTGAGGGAAATGAAGGAAATGAGAATTAATCGATCATGGCAAGTGTTAAACCCTAACCCTAGTTTCCCATTTGGGAATTTCATTTTGGGCCGGATTGCTGATAGTAGTGATTATCTGAAATCGGTACTCCGCGGTTTTAACTGAAGTCGTGGGCTTTGCAGGCCGGCCCATTACTTAACAGCTCCAATGAGATATTAACAAACTAAGACTTAAAAAATAAATGTATTATTCAGTCTGGGGTTGGTGCATTTTCTCATTTTGTTGATTCATTCGGGTACCCAGTTTCTTCAGCTTATCGTTCAAGATCAGGGCACGACAGTGGTTGCATCGTTTCTGTGATTCTTCGCTGCGCATCAACTCAGTTTCATCATTCCCTGAATCTTGCGTCCGTGTTCTCCCGATCAAGTGATCGTTTTCTTTTCTTGTGTCCATAGTCTCATGATCGAGTGATCATTCTTCCAATCTTGTTCCTCACTGCTGTGCAACCGTTAGAGGACAAGAAATCAGTTAGTTGGAACTCTCACAGCACCGATTCATCATCGTCGACAGTCTCGGCTTCCTCCTCCTTTGTACTTCGTCGGCACTCAGACTCAGATTGTGATTTCTTGTTTACTGCCGACTCAGTCGTTTCAGAGATTCAGCTCAGGAGTGGTTCGTGTGTACCCTCCACAGATAGATTCGTTCAAGCCACGTTTTCCCAATAGTTTCTTCAAGATTCATCATAATGACAGACGACGATTCAAAATCTCAGGTTCTGGATTTTCAACATCCCCTTTATTTACATCCTGCTGATACACAAGCCAATACGCTTGTCTCACAAGTTCTCCGTGGCTCTGACAATTACTCTGTCTGGAGTCGAGCCATGGAATTAGCACTTCTTGGCAAAAATAAACTGGGGTTTGTTTTGGGGACGTGTACTCGTGAAAAGCAAGATTCCAACCTCCAAGATCAATGGGATCAGTGTAATGCCGTGGTGCTTTCATGGGTAATTAATTCTGTAGATACCCAGATTGCTAGTGGTTTAGTTTTTTCGTCAAATGCACACTTAGTATGGACGGATCTTAAAGAGAGATTTGCTGTGGTTGATGGTGCGAAATTTTTTTCCTTATACCGTTCAATAAACTCCCTCACCCAAGGCACTTTATCTGTATCTGCCTATTACACTGAACTAAAGGAACTGTGGGATGAGCATGCAGCAATAGTTCCTATCCCTAGCTGTTCATGTCCCTCTTCCAAGGAATATGCGAAAAGTATTCAAGAGCAAAGGTTGTTCCAGTTTCTTATGGGCCTGAATGAAGTTTTTCACCAAATACGCAGTCAAATATTATTGATGAAGCCTCTGCCATCCCCCAATCAAGCATACTCCATGGCCATTCAGGAAGAAATGCAGAGACAGATATCTTATGGGACATCACATTCCTCTTCTGAAGGCTCTATTTTAGCCTCTAATGCTTCAAGAGGAGGCAGAGGACGTGGCAGAGGGCGTGGTAGAGGAAGATCAAAACAAGAATGTAGTTACTGCCATAGAAAGGGCCATCAAAAGGAAAGCTATTATCAGCTTATTGGTTTTCCACCAAATTTTGGTTCTAATAGGACCAAAAGGACTCCTGAGGATAAAGGAAATCAAGCTGTAAATGGAGCTGATGATTCTGGGAAATCAAGCAACAACCAGGATGTTCCAAACTCTCAGGCTCCTTGGTTCACACCTGATCAATACAAGCAAATATTGGAATTGCTCAAACGTGATTCAGATCCAAATGAAGCTGCTGTAAGCATCCAAGCTACAACACCAGGTTTGGCAGTAAACTTAGACTCTGAATGGATATTAGATTCTGGAGCTAGTTGTCACATAGTCTGTAGTTTATCATATTTAGATAAATATACAGTTTATATTGGTCCTCCTAAATGGGTCAAGGTCCCAAGTGGGGAAAGAATTCGAATAACACAAATAGGGGAGGTTAGGATTACAAAAGACATTTTTTTTAAAAACGTTTTCTATGCTAAACCATTCTGTTACAACCTGATTTCTGTTGCCAAGCTTACTCTTGATAGTTTATATGTTGTCTCTTTCTTCCCTAACATTTGTATACTGCAGGACATGTTCAATGGGATGATCAGAGGGATTGGTAGACTTACTAGAAGCCTTTACTTGTTAAAGAGAGAAACTATACATGGTTCTTTAAATTCTGTAAACAAAATTGATAATCTGAATGATACAAATGTTTCTGTTTGGCATTCTAGACTTGGGCATGTGCCCATAGATGTTATGAAACACTTGATTGGTATAAAGATTTCTGATTGTATCTCTGACAGTAATAAGTGTGAAATTTGCATTCAGGCAAAACAGCCTCGGTTGCCATTTACTCCCAGTGCCTCTATATCTAGTTTCTGTTTTGAATTATTGCACATTGATGTCTGGGGTCCATATAAAACGCCCACGCATCAAGGGCATCGATATTTTCTTACTATAGTTGATGATTATTCTAGAGGAACTTGGATTTTTCTGATGCACTTTAAATCTGAGGCTGTGAAGTTTGTTAAAACTTTTATTGCTCATTCTGAGAATCAGTTTTCTGTCAAGATTAAAGCAATTAGAACTGATAATGGATTGGAATTTGTTAATAGTCAAATGCATGAATTTCTTAGTAATAAAGGCATTGTACATCAGAAATCCTGTCCTTTTACACCTCAGCAGAATGGAGTTGTTGAAAGAAAACGTAGACATATTTTGAATGTGACTAGGAGTATTATGTTTCAGTCTCATATTCCTGCTAAGTTTTGGGGAGAAGGGGTTCGAACCGCTGCCTATTTGATTAACCGAACACCTTCTAAGTCATTAGGTCATGTCACACCATATGAACTAGTTTACAAGAAGCCACCTAATCTGGCACATTTGAGAATTTTTGGATGCCTTGCCTTTGCTGTGAATTTAAATCCTATTGATAAGTTGCAACCTAGGGCTGAAGCATGTGTTTTCTTAGGATACCCAACCACTCAAAAGGGATACCTTCTTTACAATATTAAGAGTAAGTCTCTTATAGTCACTAGGCATGCAACCTTCCTTGAAAGCAGATTTCCTTTTAAAGACACTGCTGTCACAGATCAAGGGGGAGTTAATAGGGTTAAAATTGATCCTTTTCTTATTGATAATATTGAGCAAACTCCTGAACTGATAAACAGTAGGATAAATTCTAATATTGGCAGGCGTCAAAACACTGCTGAGTTGAACAACAATGAACAATCATCTCAGAGTCAACATTCTTCTATGTCGTCTAGACCTATTAGATATAGACAACCACCTTCATGGGTTAAGGATTATGAACGTGATTTTTTGCCTAATCCTAATAATCAACCTTATTTTGAAGTGGATGGTTCTGGTTCTTTACTTTGTTCTGTTAATTATGATGATTTGACTAATTCTTACAAATGTTTTCTTTCTAACATTGACAAGGAAATTGAACCAGAAAGTTATGAACAAGCTTCCAAAGATCATAGATGGGTAGAAGCTATGCAGAACGAAATTAAGGCTCTAGAAAACAATAAAACTTGGAAGATAGTTAACTTACCTAAAGGAAAGAGACCCATAGGTTGTAAATGGGTTTATAGAGTAAAGTATAAGGCAGATGGCAAAATTGATAAATTTAAAGCTAGGCTTGTTGCAAAAGGGTATAACCAAAAGGAAGGAGTTGATTTTTATGAAACCTTTTCAACAGTAGTTAAGATAGTTACTATAAGAATTGTTCTGAAATTAGCTGCTGTACATGGTTGGCCTATACACCAAATGGATGTGGATAATGCTTTTCTACAAGGGGAATTACATGAGGAAGTCTATATGACTGTGCCTCAAGGTTTTGAGACTGATTCTAATAGGTTTAAGGTTTGTAAGCTTGATAAATCCTTATATGGATTGAAGCAAGCTTCAAGGCAATGGAATGAGAAACTTACTCAGTCCCTTATTAAAGGGGGTTTTCAGCAAAGCAAACATGACTATGCCCTTTTTCAGAAACAATTTAATTCTGGGGTTGTGTTTCTTCTTGCTTATGTTGATGATCTGATGATAACTGGAAGTAATATTCAAATTATTAATGAAGTGAAATCTTTTCTGCATAATGAATTTAAAATTAAAGATTTAGGAGTATTGAAATATTTTCTGGGTTTAGAGGTTCTAAGGTCAAATCAGGGTATTATACTCAACCAAAGAAAGTATGCTACTGAACTTGTTGACCAAACAGGATTAGATGAAGCTGAAATTGCTGGAACTCCTATGGAGCAAAACCTTAAACTCACAGCACAAGTAAAAAGGGATGATCAATACATTGATGATCCTGGTGTCTACAGAAGATTGGTTGGTAAGTTGCTGTATCTGACATTAACCAGGCCTGATATATCGTTTACTGTGCAGGTTTTGAGTCAATTCATGCAAGAACCTAAAGAATCACACATGAAGGCAGCACTAAGGCTAGTTAGATATATTAAAGACAGTTCAGGCTGTGGAGTTTATCTCTCAGCTAACGGATCTACCAACATGGAATGTTACTGCGATTCTGATCATGGAGGCTGTACAGATTCAAGACGGTCAGTCACTGGGTTCCTAATTAAATTAGGAGGTTCACTTGTTTGCTGGAAGTGTAAGAAGCAAAGCATAGTGTCTATTTCTTCCGATGAAGCAGAATATAGAGCTTTAAGAATGGCATCTGCTGAAATCACATGGATTGTAGGACTAATGAAGGAATTACATGTTCATGAGGTTGAACCTGTAACAATATATTGTGACAGCAAATCTGCCATCCATATAGCCTCTAATCCTGTTTTTCACGAAAGAACCAAGCATATTGAGATTGACGGTCACTTTGTAAGGGAAAAGCTACTAGCTGGAATGATAAATTTCAGACATGTCAAGTCAGAGGAGCAACTAGCAGACATTTTAACCAAATCTCTTGGGGGTCCGCAGCATGAATATATTTTGAGCAAGTTGGGAACTTGTGAATATAGAGTTCCTAACTTGAGGGGGAGTGTAGAAAATATTCAGTTATGTA